GTGCAGGCCAGGCACGGCGCTGCCGGTCATAGATGCCGTGAATAGACGTGTCATCAATTACAGTTCCGGACGGTGCGACGATTGGTGTGGCGGGTGTGATGAGGGAAGTAGGGGTGCTTACAGAGGCTCGTTGCACTGTTTCCACCTCCACTCTCTGCTGCTCCTCCTCCAAGAGCTTCTGTGCTCTCGCCTTTTTCCTCGCCTTTTCCTTCTTCGCGCCGCTGGTCATGACAGATTTTGACAGGTCCCGTAAGGGCGAAAAGATGGGGGAAAAAGCGATGTGGGTGAATGTGCGTCCAGAGACGCGGTCGATGCGAGGGAACCGGTGCCGGTGATTTGTGTGCTCTTAAACTAGTAGGGAAACTCGAAATGTTTATACCCAAACACAAAGTTCGCAGATATAAGCAAAAGCCTATGCAACCGACCAACAAAGCGCAAGATATAAGACGTAAGATTCCCAATAGAAACCGACGAGTGCCAGTCCCTGCTTCAGAGCCTTTAAAAGGTTGAAGGGAGAGGTTTTGGGTAGGAGAAAGTGTGTAGAGTACTGTGTTGCAGAGATATTGCTTGCTTGCGCAAAACGATATATCCAAAACGGTAGATATTATAATGCTTCACAGCGACAAGGCAAAGCCAAGGCAAGGTTGAGTGTCCAGAGACGATAGGCGCAATACCCAAGAGCGTGTGGTGAGTTTACAACTCCGTGGGGTTTGTGGTGTGGGTGGATATAATCCAAAGTAGCAATTCCGACGTCCAAGGCAGTGTTCTAGTAGCAATCTGACGTCCAAGGCAGTGTTCTCGTAGCAGTTCCGATGTCCAAGGCAGTGTTCTCGTATCAATCCGACGTCCAAGGCAGTGTTCTAGTAGCAGTTCCGACGTCCAAGGCAGTGTTCTAGTATCCCATATAATTCCGATTCAAATATACATCCAATAGAGTAAGATTTCGAGATGCCACACCCTTCTATATGGTAGTGCACAACCAGAAGATCCCAGATCACCCCGAATCGCAAGTGTAAGCCTACTAGTCGTGGGGTGATGCTGTGTCCTTCTAATAGCGACGACCTACTACTTATATACAAGTCCCAGAATAAATAAGTACAAGCAGATATAAGAAAATATGAGTCAAACAGCCGTGTACCCGTCGGATAGTTATCCGGTATAGTGAATCCAGTCGGTGCCATTGGCTGCAAGCCTCGAGCACGCCATATTACAGTCATCCGCCAAGACAGAACCTCAGTCAGCAATCAGCTGAAAGGCCAAAAGCTCAGTCAGCACTGAGCTTATTTCCAATCCGCCCAAACCGACATCAGATACAGGATTGATTCATATATCCTGCCCTCCTCGCTCGTTTCCCTCCAGCTAGCATCCCTATACCGTGTAGTATAGTGTCGCAGCTTTCGAACGATACCCCTCACGGCTTATATCCATAATTGGGTTCTTGGTAGAAGTCTAGTCTGACCCTTTGGGAATCTCCAATCAGGCCGGCAACTACGGGTATAGTTGAGCCCGTCGGGTATAGTCAGGTATAGTCCGAAACAAGGTCCGACCGGTGTTCTAGGCCATCGTCTGATCTGATGTCCACATCTCTACAACCCTAAAGCGTCACAACGGTATTGCAATTCAACCCAATTCGTTACTTGGGCTTATACCCAACATAACCCAGTTGAATATGAAGTTACTCATGATGTTTAGTGGACTACACAAACCCTTACACGTTTCAGGGCAAGTGCAGCCAGTCACCTCGACGTATTACCCCCTCGATGACCCATTACTCTGTGATCTTGGCCCAACCAGCTACCTCTGAGTCTCGGTACTAGTTCTGTATATAAGATAATATACATTGCAAACACAACTGAAAGGCGCAAAAATAGTGTGTTCCACTAGTGGTTATTTGCAAGGCTTATCACCGGGATGTGCCAAGAGTCAAAGGAAGGGGTGGGGTTTCGGAAAAAAGAGCTGAGAAATCAGCTGGAGGCAAGTGGAAGCTGGGTTGAGAGTTGCTGCTCTGAGGTGGAGGAAGAGCCTATCTGGGCTGAAGGACACGTGGAGAAGAGCGAATCACACTCCAATCACCAAGATGGAGACGCCTCGGGGTCTCTGGGCCAGAGATGAGCCAGCGGGGCTCGCAGCGGGATGGGAGTAGAAGCAGAAAACCCAATGTGATTGCCGATGACAGCTCTCGGAGACTAATACAGCCAAACTATACTATGTGCTGCCAACCACACCACACAGTAAAGATAGGATTACTGGTATTTGTCCACTGAGAATTTCAATTAATGCGGATCATCTGCATTTGGCGGGTAACCCAGCTGAGGCTCAATGTAGTTCTTGAAACTTCTCATCTCAGTCTTAATTCCTTACATAGTATCGTGTTATAGATTGACCCCCGGTAATAGAACATCACCGAGGGTTCAAATTCTGCCAGTTGTGAAAGGTTAATAGAGTAAAAGCTCGGTAGCAAGTGGTGCGCATCTGCTTTCGATCATTTGTCGTCCACTTTCCAGTAGACCCATTCGGGCCTGAGTTATGTTTCAGTTCTGCCTTTTCTCTTTTTTCTCGGTTGAATTCTATGCTGGGTAAGCCATCTCTTGTCCTCCAGTTCAATTGCTTGCATCTGGTGAGCTGCTCTCAGACCAAGTGACTCATTCCAGTTGGCCAAGGCCCGAAATACCGAGGGCAAGGCGATGATGCATGGTGTGTATCTGCGGTCAGTATTGTGACTTTGGCGACAGTTTCAGTAGGCCTTCTCGCTTCGATTCCTAGTCTTTATTAATCACTTTGTGTCTTTTTTCTTCTTCCTTCTTTATTTTGAAAACACTTGCCTCGGTGCACACCGTCCCTTTTGCTATGGTTCAATTTCTAATAGACAAACCAGCCACGATTCTCGGCTGTCCTCAAAATTCCCGGCTAGCTGCTCTGATGAAGACACTCAGAGAGTTCAAACTCCAACGGTTAAACAAGGATCAAGATGCTGGGGAAAGGCTCAGTAGCACATGGTGTGCATCTGCTTTCAGTGATTCACATTCACAAATCTCTAGCAGACTCTGTCCGTTCGACTCGGGCCCGAGCCATGATCTTTCGCAGCAGACTTTTTGTCCTGCATTATTGGCTTGGTTGAATCTTATATTCCCAGATGGTTGTACTTGAATGACATCGGGACATTGAACCTTACCTCCAGACCGCAATTCCTACATGGCAAGCTTAAATTCCAACAGTTGGGCAAGAACTGATTTCATAGAGGAAAGGCTCGGTAGCGCTCGGTGCGCATCTGCGTGCACTGTGTTTGTCAACTCAAAGATAATGCAGACCCTCGCCCGTTCGACTCAGGCCTGAGCCATGGTGGGACATGATTCGTTTTTTCCTCTTCTTCTTCTTCTCGCTCTCTCTTTGAAACCACACCTACGACAAGGATAGAATACTTGCAGTGGGTATAAATGAATAGTCAATGGTGGTGGTAAATGCATACCAGACTGGGAGGAGAAAACGCGCCTTCATAGATAGGGGCACTTTTGTCACCCTGTCACTCGTTACCCACGTTACCGTTACCACCGTCACCGCCTACGGAAAACAAGATTTAGGACGCTCTGAGACGAGAAGCAGCACCCACACCCGCTCGCCGCCCCCACCTGCACGGCCCGTCGTCCCTACCTTCTCCGAGTAATGCAGAAAACCGCCCTCGCCACTGTGGAGGACTGGTCACGAGGTGGGAGCGACAGCAGAGCGGCAACAAGGAACGTTTGGCCTAAGATGTACAGGATGGTACGTAGGCAAACGGATAAAGGAATGTGCTAGGCGATGCATAAGCTATATATATGTATAAGGGGCCCCACATTGATCTCCGTGAGTCGGACCGTGATGTCCGTGAGTGCGTAAGCTTGTACGTAACTCCAGATTGCAACAGCCACCCCCTTGGTGCGCTACTTCGCCCGCACGCGCGGCGTCGACCTCACGCTGCTCGCTCCCGGGTGCGGGAAGGGCGGGCGCGTGGAGAAAGCGGACGTCGAGGCGCTGATTGTCTCTGCCTCATCTCTATCTACGTCGACGTATCCACACCCACCCCTGCTAACGGGCGAAGAAGAACAAGACGTCGTCGTCGGCCTCGGGCACACGCGGCGATGTGGCATCCGATGGTCAAGGTATGCTCCATTTCTACTCATTGTATCTAAGACGCTGATTACACTCACACATCATAAACGGCGCGGAGCCCGTTGCATTTGTAGAGTTCTGGCGGGGGTGGGTAGGGATTATGGGTGAGGGATGAAAAGAGTGGAGGAGTGGGATTCCAGATCTGTGCGGCACAGACCGACCGGGTCGTCAGTGAGCATATGGGATACCTTGCGGCGCGGTAGCTTTCGGTTGTATGTACTCACATGGAATGTCCTCGTTCAATCTCAAAATCCAACAGTTGGATACAGTCCAAAATAACGGGGTAAGGCTCGGTAGCGCGCGGTGCGCATCTGCGTTCCATTACACCTTTTGTGAACAAGTGCCGTAGACAACACCCGTTCGACTCGGGCCCGAGCCATGCCTTATTTCTGTACTTTTTTTTCCTCCCTCGTTCTTGCTCCCACTTCCTGCAAAATTCCGTCGGCAGTGAGCCATCGTTGTACTTCAAAGTTTCACATCCATGGTTCAAATTGTCAAAATCGCCCAGCTTATAGTCCAGACTAAGTGGGTTCAAACTCCATCGACCGAACTTATTAAAACTATTTATCTTGGAACCAAGTGGGGTGGGGAAGGCTCGGTAGCCCGCAGTGCGCATCTGCATTCCATTAAGCATCCGTATGGTTGCTCTGAATCCAGACCCGCCCGTTCGACTCGGGCCCCAGCCATAGATGCATGCACTCGTGTGTTTTTTAAAACCTTTTTTGCCCTTCTCCTTCCCATTTTCACCCCTTCACATTGAGCTATGAATATGGTTCAGACCAATTGTTTATAGCAAGATTAAGTGGATTCACACCATGTACAACCGTTGTCCGAGGACCAAAACTATGGGGAAAGGCTCGGTAGCGCGCGGTGCGCATCTGCGTGCGTTTTCGGGCTTGAGGACCCAATTTGAAGCAGAAAACGCCTGTTCGACTCAGGCTCGAGCCATGGCTGGATAGGGTTGTAATTTTTGACGCGTTCTTGGCTCGGTTCGATACCACCTGCGATTGAACCATTGTGTGGTTCAGAGGTGGCCGCAATTTCTACCTAGAAAAACTCCGTGGGTTTGACAATTGGCACTTAGAGGACTGAAGTTATGGGGAAGGGCTCGGTAGCGCGTGGTGAACATCTGTGTATATTGGTCCTCAATCATCCGTGGCTCAGCAGTCAGTTTGACTCGGGCCCGATCCATAGATTAGGAGTCGTTGTTTTTTCTTCTTTTTTTCTTTTGCGCATTCTTAGCTCGGTTCGAGATCACCAAAATTCCGCCATCTGTGTGCATGTGCTGAGCCGTTTGTTCTCTTCTCTAGTTCAATTTCCAATATCCTGTCATTAAACGTGGACCCGTGGTTCAGAATGGGTAGAAATTCCTACATGGCAAGTTCAAGTGGGTTAAACTCCAAAGACTTAGGTAAGGCTAGGGATTGGTTCAGAATCCAGCAGTTGGAAAAGGTCCAAGTAAGAGAGGAAAGGCTCGGTAGCGCGTGGTGCGCATCTGCTTACGATCATCTGTTATCCATGTTCCAGCAGACACAGCCCGTTCGACTCGGGTCTGAGCCATTCCCGACGTCTGCCCTTTTTTTTTTTCCTCAGTCGAATTTGATCATCTCTGTGTCTCCAGTTCAATTGCTCGCATCCGGTACTATTCTGATAACAAGTTTCGTTGCAGGTTGTATCTGTGAGCTACTCTGGACCAGATTCCTAGGGTAAGGCTCAATGGGCGTGGTGCACATCTGCCGTCAATATTGTGAACCTTGGCGACAATTTCAGTAGACCCCTCCCGTTCGACTCGGGTCTGAGCTATGATGCATCATTTCGTACGCTTTTTTTCCCTTCTTTTATTGCGCATATACTACAGTACTTCCCTTTGGCTATAGATCAATTTCTACCAGATAAACCAACCACGATTCCCGGCTGTCGTCAAATTCCCGACTAACTGTTCTGATGAAGAAACTCAGAGAGCTCAAACTACAACAGTCAAACAATGACCAAGATGCTCGGGAAAGGCTCGGTAGCGCGTGGTGTGCATCTGTTTTCAATGATTATCTGAAGTCATTCAGATATTTCCAGCAGACCCTGTCCGTTCGACTCGGGCCCGAGCCATTATCTTTCGTTGCAGACCTTTTTGCCTGCACTCTTTTGGCTCGGTTCAATCTCATCTTCTCAAATGGTTGTACTTCAACAATTTTTGAATCATATCGGGACATTGGACCTTAGCTCCAGACCGCAATTCTTATGTGGCAAGTTCAAGTCAATTCAAATTCCAATATTTGGGCAAGAACTGAGTTAATAGAGGCAAGGCTCGGTAGCGCTCGGTGCGTATCTGCGCGCACTGTGATTGTCCAAATCAAAGATAACGCAGACCCTCGCCCGTTCGACTCGGGCCCGAGCCATGGTAGGACATGATTCGTTTTTTTTCTCGCTCTCTCTTTGAAACCACACCTACGGCAAGGATAAAATACTCCCAGTGGGCATAAATGGTAAATGAATAGCAGACTGGGAGGAGAAAACGTGCCTTCGGCCTCATTACTTAGATAGGGGCACTCTTGTCACCCTATCATCCGTGACCGCACGTCACCGTCACCCGTAACGCCGTCACTCGCCGCCTACAGAAAACAAGATCTGGACTCTCTTTCGCTCTCCTTACAAGCTCTCTCGGATATTGCTGCATATCTGAACTCTGGCGATAAATTGTGCTCCTAGATGCCTGCTTCGGTTCAATGTGTCTTGGGCTTGAGAATCTGTGTCTGTGCTTTCGTTCGTCTGCCAGCTTGCATTCGGTCCAGGAGTCCCTAAGATACAGAGAGAGACCGTTCCCTTCGCAACACACGCCCACAGGTTCCTTCGAGCCCTCCACCCTCCGACTCCCAGCGCATGCTCGTCCTCGCGCACTTCCACTGGGCGTAACCCACACCTTCAAGCTTGCGACATCGGCGAGGACATAACCGAGTGCGATGCCCCTCGCCCCTCCTTCACCGCGGTCGACTCGTTGTGCGACGTGCAGAGCGAGAAGGTGAGCATGGACATCACGAGCCCGTGGTGAGGAGGTGACGCGCGTGGTTTAGGTGGTGGAGGCAGGGAAGGAGGGAGAGGTGGAGAGTGCGAACGCGAAAGCGGAGGAGCCGTACCGGCCGTGAGTAGAGCAGCGGACGGAAACACCGACGCCGACGCCGACACCGCAAGAAGCACCATCACCCACAGTAGCCACACCCGCGCGCCGCCCCCACCCGTTCGACCCGTCCTTCCCCCTACCTTCTCCGAGTAACGCAGACACCGCCCTCACCACCCCTCCATGCGCCACTTCGCCCGCCCGCACGGCGTCGACCTGGTCCTACTAGAGCCCATTAGGCGCGTGGAAAGGGCCGATGTGGAGGTCTTCATTTCCGCTTCTGCTACACCTTCATCTGCGTCTACGTCTACATCGACATCGACATCGATGCCAGCGTATGGATCGACGTACCCATCCGCACCCCCGCCTGTGAAGAGAAGCAAAAGAACAAGAACTCGTCGTCTACCTGGGCCGCACGCGACACGCGGTGTGGCCCGCGATGGTCAAGGTGCGCGCTCTCTCTATCTTCGATTCTATATATCCATCCATCTATCCGTTTATACATATATGTATCCCACCCCTCTATCTCCTCTCTCTCTCTACTTCGCTAGCTCTCTCCCTCTCTCGCTCGCTCTCTCTACTCTCTCTCGCCATCTCGCTCTCTATTTCCCCGCTCTCCGTCTCTATCTACCCCCCTGCTCCGGCGAAGAAGAGGCTCCTGACGCGCTCACGCGCGTATACGGTAACATCAAGCAACCACGCGCGGAATTAAAGTAACGCCCTATCTGAACTGTGAACGTTGGTTCTCATCGTGCTGCAGGGATCCTCAGTGTTGGATTTTTCAACTATGAAGGCGCTATTGCTAATCTCGCCACACAGGCAGGTAACGAAACCGCCGCTCTTGCACTTCAAAATTGGAGGTTGACGACCTTCCCAGCTCGAGATACTTACGCGTAAATGCGGTCAGTAAGCTCATCTAATATTCGTAATATTCATTGCTCTGTCCTGAACATGATTCCACGCTCCCGGCCGCCACTAGATGGAGGTGAGTGTCATACTAGCTATCCTCTACCCCTCTACCGATAGCTGACGGAGACTCGGCGGGCCCATGGACGCGTCGGACAGCCGGCGGAAATTGGCGGCATGTGTATGTTCTCCTCGCGTTATGTTGTGTTTCATGTTCTCATGCCGCAGGTCAAGAGTAGTGCAAAAATACGAGACGACAACCGCACTCCCGGATCAACCGACAACGTGTGTACGTGGTCATCGTGTATTCTTCGCTGCCCTGGTCGATTTGAACGAAATTATACAGTATTGGAAGCGTGGCGCGCTCCGCAATATTCATCCAATTCATTTAGGAATGTAGCCGCTGCTCTCAGCTACTGCTTATTCAGATGAAAATACTACACTTCGGCGATATTCGCCGAGTGACTTCTCCAGCGGGTAGGTAGGTAGGCAGGCAGCATTACATGGCCGATCCGAATCGCGAACGCCGGTTCCAGGGATTTTCGGGAATTTCAACCCTTGATCATCAATGAAAACGCGGGAACGACACACAACCCCGCCCACGAACGAGATGTTGCTGAAGCTTGCAGGACGGTGCCGGATGACGACCCGAAGATCCTTGGCGAAGTGTTTCGTTGGACCATTCTGAGATAAATCCCGCAGTGAAGGTGTATTCACGCCGTCAGCACCGATCCATGTCCACCATCAGATGCGCGCCGTGTGATGGCTCCACAGCCAGCCCTGTCTCGAAGATCCCGTTGCTCGTCAGAGTATTAGGAGATGTCTGCCAGGATATATCACGGCGCTCGCTGGAACGACAGATCTAAAAACTGAACAGCTGGTTTTCAAGGATATCAAGGAGCAAAGGAGCCAACGGTAAGACGTTCCTAGGGGGCATGCCATGTAAATCCTCTTCCCATGATGCCGGATACCATCACCGCCAGGTCAAGCGCCAGGCGGCCAGAGCTTTGTTCGGATCTTTTCTAAGGACCTTAATCAGTGCGTGACACTGCCGTGCTCGCGAGTATCGGCCATAAAGGTCTCGATGACCTTTTACTTACTCCAAATTTCTTCCACTCGCCCGCACCACAGAACATGAAGCTTCTCGCCCTAATCCTCGCCGCCGCCGCCGCTGCTCCTGCGCTCGCCTCGGTCACTGCGTTCAGCAACTTCAACTGCGCGGGTACCGCACTGGTGGTCCCCTGCGACGACTCGTGCCATTCCTTCAGCGGCAAGAACTCCTTCAGGGCGAGTGTGCCCAATTGCATCTCGCCAAATACAAGCTCCTGACAGTTTTAAATTCGCAGGTCGACACTGACACCGTGGAACATTGTGTCGGCTCGTTCACTGGCACCACATGCGCCAGCAGCACCTTCGTCTTCCCGAACCCGAACCAGAACGGAGAATGCACTGTACGCCCAACGAAGCGATTGGCTATTGCAAAGCTGACGACTTTGTACACTTGTAGAACATCGAAGCGAGCTCTCCGATCCTGTCGTTCTCCTGCTCGCCCAACAACACCTGCAGCACGGGGGTTTGAAGAGTCTCGCCCCGATGCAACATCGACAATTGTAATTCTGGATCCTAGCACTAAGTTTGTAGTGATGTTGGTCGGCAATGATGTAGCTGGCGCGACAAATAAATCAGATCCGACAACCTTGTGGTACTTAGACTGCTTGACTAGAGACCGCCCGTTCGACTCGGGTTCGCTCAGGTTGTGCTTTTTATTCCCCTTTCGCATTTTTGGCTCGCTTCGCCTCGATTTTCTGGACCGCCTCACGGTTACAGGAAATCTCCGCATAGTTGGTTCATCGAGACAAACCAGCTCAAACTCCAAGCGCTGGATAAGTACCGAACTTATGAGGAAAGGCTCAGTAGCGCGTGGTGTGCATCT